GTGCACAAATACTCACTGGGTGTGGACGGTTAATTGGTCAGAGTGGATGGTCGGGATATGCAACGCACCATATCGGTTGTATTTTACATCTGCCAAATGTGTTTTTTTTGTGAATTGGGTTACTGACACTTTTGGTTTCTTATTTACGGTCATGTTCTTTTTTCTGAATGGTTAAGGCAATCATTCCACGTTTAAGCCTTTGGTATTATGGGCTTGCCCTCAGAATCATAATACGGTATCCTTCAATAAGATTTGAGTACATTTAGGTCACATGTAGGAGTAATGAGATCGTCACGGGTAAAAGCGAGTCACATGAACCTGCTATTTCCCCCTTTTCAAATCCACACATTAATACGAAGGAAATTAGACTAACATTGTCTTTCATTGGAGTGTTACAGTGTGCATAGTGGTCTGTTATCTTATAACAAATATTAGAATTCATATATCTATAGAATTATTCATATCACCGACTATTTGAAGCATTGCACTGTTTCCTTTCATTGTCACAGTCTTCCATCACTACAAGACTGTGCTCTGAAATAATGGAATTTCTGAGTGTTAGTTAAAGTTAAGGCGGTGGCTGTTAACGAATACACGTAGGGTGTCTTTCCTTTTTTCGGTACATCAAAGGTTTTTCATCAGTGGATATGTGCTGTGACATGGATCAGAAACATAGACGCCATACACAATTTAAAAGACACCATATATATAAAAAGTGGGCAGGACAAAATGATTGAAGGGATTACGACCATCGGCGGTTGAGACTAATAATGGAGTGGTAGGCCAAGGAGGGAACAGACTTGAGAGAAAGCTCACCATGGAGTAATGAAATTATCACGTGGACAGGAGCTACATTGTAGCATCATTCGACCCGGGAGAGATGGTGATGGTTTGTGGAGGCAGTGGATAGATTAAGGCCAATTATGATGGTGATGAGCAGGGACGGAGCCAGGATTTTGACTTTGGGGGGGCTGACTTCAATATTTTGAGATATACAGTGTATGTTTTCCAATGGGCGCCACAAATGTATAAAACAAATTTTATTGTATCTGAACGCGGAGTTTATTAATAGGTCGGAGCCGCTGATGTGGCTAATAAGTTCGATAAGTCCGAAAAGATGCCGCTCAAGCAGCCTGCAGGGCAGCACGAGGTGGCAGCCAGCATTTTGCAGCAGACGGATATCCGGTTATCCCGAATACCGACTTTCCCAAAATTTCAAGGTGGGCTGAGCCCCCCCCCCACCAGCCCCCCCCCCAGCCCCCTGTAGCTCCGCCCCTGGTGATGAGGCAAGCTAGCTCTAATGACGATTTGAGACAAATCAGCCTTTAAGTGAGACATTTTGACGAGAACTAGTCGATCATAGTCGTCATCAATCTTAAATTCAGACTACGGTAAACATTGTCATTTCCTACGCATGGGATTACAGTGAGGGAAAAAAGTATTTGATCCCCTGCTGATTTTGTACGTTTGCCCACTGACAAAGAAATGATCAGTCTATAATTTTAATGGTAGGTTTATTTGAACGGTGAGAGACAGAATAACAACAACAAAATCCAGAAAAACGCATGTCAAAAATGTTATAAATTGATTTGCATTTTAATGAGAGAAATAAGTATTTGACCCCCTCTCAATCAGAAAGATTTCTGGCTCTCAGGTGTCTTTAATACAGGTAACGAGCTGAGATTAGGAGCACACTCTTAAAGGAAGTGCTCCTAATCTCAGATTGTTACCTGTATAAAAGACACCTGCCCACAGAAGCAATCAATCAATCAGATTCCAAACTCTCCACCATGGCCAAGACCAAAGAGCTCTCCAAGGATGTCAGGGACAAGATTGTAGACCTACACAAGGCTGCAGTGGGCTACAAGACCATTGCCAAGCAGCTTGGTGAGAAGGGGACAACAGTTGGTGCGATTATTCGCAAATGGAAGAAACACAAAAGAACTGTCATTCTCCCTCGGCCTGGGGCTCCATGCAAGATCTCACCTCGTGAAGTTGCAATGATCATGAGAACGGTGAGGAATCATCCCAGAACTACACGGGAGGATCTTGTCAATGATCTCAAGGCAGCTGGGACCATAGTCACCAAGAAAACAATTGGTAACACACTATGCCGTGAAGGACTGAAATCCTGCATCGCCCGCAAGGTCCCCCTGCTCAAGAAAGCACATATACATGCCCGTCTGAAGTTTGCCAACGAACATCTGAATGATTCAGAGAACTGGGTGAAAGTGTTGTGGTCAGATGAGACCAAAATGGAGCTCTTTGGCATCAACTCAACTCGCCGTGTTTGGAGGAGAAGGAGGAATGCTGCCTATGACCCCAAGAACACCATCCCCACTGTCAAACATGGAGGTGGAAACATTTTGCTTTCGGGGTGTTTTTCTGCTAAGGGGACAGGACAACTTCACCGCATCAAAGGGACGATGTATGGGGCCATGTACCGTCAAATATTGGGTGAGAACCTCCTTCCCTCAGTCAGGGCATTGAAAATGGGTCGTGGATGGGTATTCCAGCATGACAATGACCCAAAACACACGGCCAAGGTAACAAAGGAGTGGCTCAAGAAGAAGCACATTAAGGTCCTGGAGTGGCCTAGCCAGTCTCCAGACATTGATCCCATAGCAAATCTGTGGAGGGAGCTGAAGGTTCGAGTTGCCAAACGTAGCCTCGAAACCTTAATGACTTGGAGAAGATCTGCAAAGAGGAGTGGGACAAAATCCCTCCTGAGATGTGTGCAAGCCTGGTGGCCAACTACAAGAAACGTCTGACCTCTGTGAGTGCCAACAAGGGTTTTGCCACCAAGTACTAAGTCATGTTTTGCAGAGGGGTCAAATACTTATTTCCCTCATTAAAATGCAAATCAATTTATAACATATTTTACATGCGTTTTTCTGCATTTTTTGTTGTTATTCTGTCTCTCACTGTTCAAATAAACCTGCCATTAAAATTATAGACTGATCATTTCTTTGTCAGTGGGCAAACGTACAAAATCAGCAGGGGATCAAATACTTTTTTTCCCTCACTGAAGGTTTTAGCTCATGTTGGATCAGCAGTAGATCTTAAACAATTTACCCCTCGGTGATTCAACTCCAGAATCTATCGTTTTTTTGTCTCGTTTTTACAGTTTCATTTGTACTGTTTAACATTTTTTTATACCCTGCTTTTACAGCACGTCTCGTTTCATTTTTTTCTCTCCTCCCCCTAGAATATGCGGTGAGATCTCTCCACGTACTCCGGTTACCTCCCGCATGCAAAATACTCATCAACGATGGGCCAAATCTTTTAATGTGGACCCCCTCTTGAGAAAATCTGGACACTCACTGAGGTTTTCCTGGATAATTCATCAATATGAGCCATTGCCAATCCACTGCGGGATGGATGGAGGTCTCTCTAAGTCACAACCATCCAATGTTCCGCCTAAACAGCCAATTTCACAGCTCCATCTCTCTTTAGTGGACATACTCTCAGGCGCGTTCGCTCCCTTGGCTGCCACTGCGGTATTAATCCTGGCCACAGCCATCATCCAATCTAACGATATTCCCTGCCCAAGCCACATACTTTTCTTAATATAATTATTATGATGTCATTAATCTGCGTGTTTTATGGAATGCGGGAACTTCCTTTTTCGGTTTCGGTGAAATTCCATACCTATATCTCCCCAAGGTTATTTGCACAGGACAGTGTTTGTGCCTTTATCTTTAAACGGCTATGTTTCTGAACCATGTCATATATTTGAAAAGCATTGAGATAATGTCCTGGATAAATTAACCATAATGTCATATATTTGAAAAGCATTGAGATACTGTCCTGGATAAATGAACCATAATGTCATATATTTGAAAAGCATTGAGATAATGTCCTGGATAAATCAACCATAATGTTATATATTTGAAATGCACTGAGATACTGTCTTGGATAAATAAATGGCACAAAACGGTAGGACTTTCTTGGATAATTGATATAATTATTTGGTTCTACGTATTAATAAAAAAAAACTCTCTAAAAGATTGACCGAAAATTGGCACTTAATTCATGTATTGTAGCAAGTACATCTTTGAAATGCCTTCTGAGCCATGCCGTGACAACAGTGGTGAAGAAGCGTGGGAGAAACATCGAGATCGAAACTCAGTGAAACTTCTGGTGGGTATAACCCTCTACTCTGGCATCACCAAAACGAACGTTACTTATATCCCACGTGGCTGAGACAAAAGTTTGTAAACCAGGGTCGTAAAACGACAACCGGTAACCGTTTGCAGAAGCCATTTTTGTTGGTAACCGGTAACCGTTTGGAACTTTAGGAGTGAATGCACCGATTGGGCTCCAAGGTCAAAGGTGCAGCCCTGCAATTTCTGTCGGAAGAGGTCTCCAAGAGAGGGAGCTCTGTATTTAGTCTACTCTTCCACGTTGATCAGGCAGCGCCTTGGCATTTAAACGACTTGGTGAATACAAAGGGGAGGAGATTCAAGAAACGTGTCCCCGTTTCGACTTGCCGCGCTGGGAGATGGAATCGAAACGTCAATTCCCGTAACCAATTGTTGAAATCCAATGTTGCTCACCATTAAACATCACGGAAAGCTGCCATTCGTTTGTAAGTTTAAAAAAAGAAACAATTTTTATTGCTAGAAATGTATACACAGGGTACGTGGGAAAATCGGTAACCGGTTTTTTTTTTGTCAATGGGAATGAGAAAAAAAGATTTTAACAACCGGTGTATGGAGGGAAGGTGAAGAGGGGGGGGAAACCTCTAATCTGACATGCGTGTCCGGAATGGGTTACATTTCCGATCTCGCGCATGCGCGTACGACTCGCCTGCTTGTGGAGATAGGCGGGAGGAAGGAAGAGATTAGAGAGAGGGTGGGGAGAGCGACAGGGTGAAGAGAGGGGCAGGGTGGGGAGAGCGTGAGGAGAGGGGGGAGAGGGAGGGAGTGAAGGGGGCGTGGTCTCAGACTTTAAAAGCGCGGTGCCTTCGGGTTTGTAGCCATACTGAGCACGCGCACTGCACGTGTTGTGCTCATTATTTTAGGCGCACTCTGTATAACACGCAAGCACGTAAGATATATATTTTGTTAAATAGTATACACATGAAGCTACACAGATATGTACGCATAGACACGCTCATAATTTAGATAAAAAAAATATACATTAAGACATTACATGCGTTGATATATTGAGACAAATCAGATTGCTTTTAATATCTTATAAAGTGCATTGCATCAACACGTGCAGACCAGGCGTTTATGCAATACTTTGTGGATGTGTAAAACTGTACACGGGTAATTTGTATATCCATACACATTAGTAATAAGAGGTGCATTTAAACCGATTAAATAATTTCAGTGAACGTACAGGGATTTGTTAGCTGATTAAAACAACCACTACACAGTTATACACATTTGAGCTGATGCTATTAGATCCGTGTTTCAGCATACAGGACATTGGAAGACTGCTTGCTGAAACTAAAGTAGATATACAAGTGCTGGGCAACAGTGATCGTGCTGTTTATAAACTACTGTTGAGATAGCGGAATACTCTACTCACCACTGATACTAAAAGGGGCAGTGTTAGACCGTATAATAGTCTAACACCGCTGGTAATAAGGACACAACTGTACACATCCATACGCCAATTGACCGGAGGTATAGTGGCGTAATCTCACCACTGCTGCCAATCGGGAGTAAGCGGGCTAGCATCGCGTCTATCCCTGCTGGCGGTGCCGTGTAGTTGCAGTGTATTCCCAAAGACAAGCAGTGCAGCAGTAGATAGAGCCCTGCCCGTGGCTGGGTAGTTGTGTGCAAGTGATACCGTCGTGTGCGCTTGTGCGGCAGTAGAGTAGTGCCCCAGGTCTAGCATGGGGCTGCTGTCCCAGGGCTCGCCGCTCAGCTGGGCCGACACCAAGAAGCATGCGGACTACGTGCGCGAACACGGAGTGCGGCAATTCATCAACATCTACAACCGGCTCAAGGAGCGCCAGGGTGACGTGCTCAAGTGGGGCGACGAGGTGGGTCCCGCGTGTTGTCATCGGCAGCGGCGATCGTCGGTGGTAGTAGTAGTAGTAGCGGTATCACCCCCCACCCCAGGTGACCTCACCGGCGCGCTGCCCGGGTGGAAGGTGACCCGGCGCGGCAAGCGAGTCAGGCAAGGGAGGGATGCGCGGGTTTGTGTACAGGCCGCGGGGCGCCTCGTTTGGATGAAGATGAATGGAGCCCGGGGAGGAGGAAGTGCAATGTGGAGGGGGGTGGTGAGGGAGAGTTTGAAACGACAACAACGACGTTGTGCGCGGAGAGGTGAGAGCGAGGTGGCGGGGGAGACGCGGAGCGAGAGAGAGAGAGAAGAGACGGTGAGAGAACGTGACGGAGATGGACAGATAGCGTGAGACTAACGTGGTGGGGGGGGGGGGGTGTTGAGACTGGCTGGAGACAAAGAGGGACAGACGGGGAGAGATTGGAGTGAAGACACGGGCAGAGTGAGACGAGCAGCGATGTTACAGGGAGCGGCAGAGAGTTGGTGACAAAGACACCGCTAGTGTGCTCGCACCCGCAGACAGTGACGGGGATACGGGTGCGAGACACGGGAAGATCGTGAGATATGCCGAGTGAGAAACCGATCGATATAGGTTCGTACAGAGAAATACTGAGAGGTGGACACGAAAGCAGACGAAAACAGATGGGCAAATATTTAGTTGGGGGTGGTGGTGTGGTGGGGTTGTACTCTCAAGAAGTGGGGGTGCTGTGACGTTACGTTGCACGTGAGAAATAGAGGCCAGCCATGTGCCAATCGAATGAAGTTTCAGTAACGTGGCTGTCCAACGCGACTGGTCCAATGAGTCGTGGTGGGCGGCGATTGAGCTGCGTCTGCGTGTGCCCACAACGTCCTTTGAACGTGACCTGACCGTCCGCGGTCCCTTGTAGCCAGCCAGCAAAACTTTTGTTTCAATGCGCACGCGGTACCGCGTGGGGCGATGTGAATGGTCCCTGTAGTTGAAAACCACTCTCCGGTCCACACACACAATGTCGCCACTGTCCCCCAGCCCTGGGTGGGGGACAGTGGCGCGTGACCCCCTACCCACGTCACCCCCCACCTAGTCACCCCCTAGTCACCCGCCACCCACGTCAACCCCCAGTCACCCCCTAGTCACCCCCCACCCACGTCACCCCCCACCCACGTCACCCCCCAGTCACCCCCCACCCAAGTCACCCCCCAGTCACCCCCCACCCACGTCACCCCCCAGTCACCCCCCAACCCACGTCACCCCCCAGTCACCCCCCACCCACGTCACCCCCCAGTCACCCCCCAACCCACGTCACCCCCCAGTCACCCCCCACCCACGTCACCCCCCAGTCACCCCCCCCCCCCCAGTCACCCCCCACCCACGTCACCCCCCAGTCACTCCTCACCCACGTCACCCCCCAGTCACCCCCCACCCAGTCACCCCCCACCCAGTCACCCCCCCACCCACGTCACCCCCAGTCACCCCCCACCCAGTCACCCCCCCACCCACGTCACCCCCCAGTCACCCCTCACCCACGTCACCCCCCAGTCACCCCCCACCCAGTCACCCCCCCCCACCCACGTCACCCCCCACCCAGTCACCCCCCACCCACGTATACCCCCAGTCACCCCCCCCCCCCCAGACGCTCCCCCACCCGAGGGGCCGACCACCCGCGCGCCCCCTTAGGCACGTGGCCGGCTTACCGAACATTTAAAATATTTAATATGTAGTCGGAATTCGTTGGTAATACATCATTGTACTTCACACTGTTATCTATACTGCCGTCAAATCTCATACATGCCCCTTTCTGTGTGTACCTCAATCGTTCAATGAAATTCTTTGCGTGCGAGGGGGTGGTGAGACAAGCACCGCCCGTGAATGTGCGTGGCACGCACGGTTTTGTGTTTCTGTGCTTAATGGCTCTCAAGCGCGACGACTGGCTTGGTTGTAAACATCACTGCATGTGCACGTTACTGTCAACGCAGTGCTAGAACACGTGTGCAATTGTCGGGCTTTACCTGCTAGAATAAAATAGTTTCGATTTGTGTGTGTGTATATATACTTTGAAAGTGATTTGTTTACCTTTTCTATACTTTGATATGAATTATTAGTAATTGGCATCTTTGTCAGTGACGCACACAAACCACTCATTAATTTAGAAACGCACAGCGTTAATCGCGTGGTTGACAGGTCGTCACCTGTTGACAAGTTGGTCACCGTTAAGCTTAAATCGTGTTCAATCGAATCAAATTGCCGTAAAATAAACCACCGACGGCATCTGGCTACTTATTTGCAAAGTGCTTTTGCGGCCAAAAGCAGGTGTAATAAAGTCACGTTTTGTTTCAGAACACTGGCTCTGTTACAATGCATTACGTAATCAGAATTACGTGCACTAGTCTAGTTTCAGTTTATTTATTTTGGTATAGCCCTGTGAGTCATTCGGCTCTTGAATCGGGTGCAACCACATCAAACAAAAAAAACATCACGTTTGCATAACTTGTCTTGGCAGGTGTTCTGAGTGTTTATGAATTTGGAGTGTGTTTTCATTTCTGCTTTCATACAATCCTACACTTGACAAGCGTGGTGAAGTATGGTCAAACATCCCGGTCAATGACGCGGCATGGGGAAGCCTTAATCCAGCAATGTACAGTCATGTTTACATTGCTGTTTTAATCGCGTAGGTTGACTGGAAATTGCCTTTTCACATTTCTTTATGAATCAATCGGTGCTTACATTTGCCATGCTTGTTTTTTTTTAGTTTGCGAGCTGGCAGTCCGTTGCTAATATCCTGGTAGTTTTTTTAAACTATGCAATAATGCACATCAATGTATGGTATGTAGTTACTTTATTGCCAGTATTCTATGGGGCACGTAGAAATTCAGTTTTTTAATTGCCCAATATAATTTGCTGGTTACTAGAGATTAAAAAAAAAAGTTGTAATGCACAGGACAGTATTAGCAAATACTGCATGCTACAGTCGCAGAGTGTAGACCTCGCGACACAGGTGTTGCTTGGCACAATTATAACACAATTATTTTTTGTTTTACAGCTTTGACAATGCGGCCTTCGTGTCTGTAGTCTTCTGAATATTGGATCTGAGTAAGCAGAGGAAAATAAATCAACATTGTTTAACTTATTCTTAGTTTTTTTCGGTAAAGTCACGTTGAAGAGAAACAACAAAATAACAAAATATATATAAAACAATAAAAAATTCTCACGACGTTTCGACCATAACTCAAACGGTCATCATCAGGTGTGTCGGTTTGCATAAATTTATTTTGAAAACGGCATATTTATTTATATATATAAAAATAACGTTTGCGTCACGCGCAACGATTGGCTGTTTGCCAGGACTAGTCCATCTATTTTTTGAAAAGAGGAGGGGGGAGACGAAATTTGTTTTTATGTATGCTGTCTGAAAGCCACTGTAAGCGTGAACAATCAATCAAGAACTGAAATGATTTATCAAATCTTTCCAATGATTGCTAAGATAGAATCCATCTTCTCGGTTGAAATTGTCTCTGTGTTTGTATATGTGGATAGCCTCATGAACGAATCTCTCATGGAAGCCAGATGGCTTACAAAGAACCTCCGTCTTGGAAAAGTCAATGGCATGTGAGCCTACTGAATTAGAACAATGATCTGCTACGGCCGAGGTGTTGGTCCTACCGTGTTTAAGATCTGCTTTATGTTCACGAATGCGGTCCGAGATATGGCGTTTGGTTTCTCCAATGTAACTACTACCACAGAGGCAACTTAGTTTGTAGACACCAGGGTATTGTATGTCCGGAATCACATCTTTTACAGACGGAACCAGATCACGGATTTTATGTAATGTGTTGAAACGGACCTGGATCTTGTGTTTATTCAAGATTTTGGAGATCTTTTTTGTGATCCCAGCAATGTAGGGTAAAGTGATGGTTTTGAAAGGCTCCTCAAGAGGCTTCTTCTTCATGGTTTGAGTGATAGCTTTGCGGATTGTATAGTCGGAGTAACCATTAGCCCTAAGAGCTTGGTGTACGTGCTTGAGTTCACTGCTTATGTGTTCCTGGTCGGATATGCATTGGGCTCTATGATACAGAGTCTTGATGAGAGAATTCTTCTGTGATGGATGGTGGTGGGAATCCGGTTTCAGATAAGCATCCGTATGGGTAGCTTTCCTGTAGACAGAGTGGCTCATTGAACCATCAGGTCTCTTTTTAATTAGGACATCCAAAAAAGGTATCTTGCCATCTATTTCGACTTCCATGGTAAATCTGATGGCTGGGTGTATGGAATTGATGTGGTCGAAGAATTGGTCTAGAGCAGGCCGGCCATGTGGCCAGATGACAAAAGTGTCATCCACGTACCTCTTCCATAAGGTTGGGCGCAGAGTGGCAGTCTGGATGGCGTCAGTCTCAAATTTCTCCATGAAAATGTTAGCTATAACTGGAGAAAGGGGGGAGCCCATTGGGGTGCCCTCAGTTTGTTTGTAGAAAGTTCCATTCCAAGTGAAGTATGTATTGGTTAAACAGTGTCTCACCAGGGGGGGTACCTCAGTGTTTAGTCCTTGATGAACCAAGTCTTCAATGATTGCAATGGTGTCAGGTACAGGAACCTTGGTGAATAAGGAAACTACATCAAAACTGACAAGCAGGTCGTCTGGGGACAGGGAAATACCCTTGATTGTTGATACCAGGTGAGTAGAATTTTGTACCGCAGAGGTGGTCTTTCCAGTGAAAGGACGCAGGATTTCAGACAAAAAACGAGCTAGTTTGTAGGTGGGGGAGCTGATAGTAGAGACTATGGGACGAAGAGGTGTATCAACTTTATGTATTTTTGGTAAGCCGTATAATCTTGGTGGCCTGGCAGCAGAAGGTTTCAATGAAAACTGTTTAGATTGATCAATTAATGCGGTTGAATCAGAAATTATTTTGTTGGTTTGTGTGACGAGGCTGTTGGTGGGATCTCTTTTTATTTTTGTATAACTACCATCGTCGAGTAATTCTTTAATTTTGTTGTTGTATTCT